AATTTATATTGATGCTAAATGGAGACTTTAATAATTAAATTTGAACTTGAATTTCTACATCTGAAATAATTTAGAAGGCACTACGGTATTGTTTAAACTACTTTATTGTCAAGGTAAAAGTTGGAATCAAGTAGTTGTATTGCGTAACTAAGCACCACGCGATGCAGACGTGTGGAAGAGTGGACGTATGGCTCTAGGCGTTCTTAACCTCGGCCGTAGTTGGATGTGAATGGTTAGCTTCACTCCCCGGCCGTTTTATCCTCACACGGGAATATCCCCGGTTACCACTGGTATACGGGAAACCGTCTTTCAACACGAGTTTGCCCAACGCGGGTTCGATTATACGCACAAAAATAAATGCGAAGTTTTGGCCGAACGCTGCGTATTTGATTATACGCTGTCCGCCAAACACACAGCTGTTGAAAAAGGTAAAGACGGCTCAGATTTTGCGTATTTGTTTTGGTTTGTTTGTTTGTGAGATACTGGTAACGAAGTTGGTTTGGAAGCAAACGCAGATAACTAAGTAGGACTGTTCACATCTTGTCACAAGGCTACAGGGAAGATTTATTATATAAATTTAACTAACACATCCTTTCAAAATATGACAGTTCAAATACTTGGGGACGACGGTAAGAAAAAATAAATTTACGAGCTATATGAATTCCGGTAAGTTAATTTTGCCCTCCCTTCTGTTAACTAAAAACGTAAAGATTAAAAATACACGCAGCTGTAATTTTGTCTGCTGTTCTCTCACGTTAGGGGAGCAATGCATATTGAGGGCATTAGAGAATTAGGGTGCTTAAGGAAATACTTGGACTAAGGGGTATGACGTTACAGGGTGCTGGAAAATGTACTTAACGAGGAGATCCATAATTAAGAAAGTAAAACTGCCATGGTGGCTCTTGGGAGGAGAGGATGTGTGGCTTTAATTATTCTTGACTGCAGCACTATGGGGGTGGGTCAGCGTGACGCTCTGGCTACTCTTTACCCCCGGCACCCTCAGTATGTTGGTTCTATAGCCGGTCCGGATGCATATGCTGGAAGAAATGTTTTTGCACCTGCTGAGTTTCGAATTCTGTTCGTCTGGTTCGTAGTCAGACTCTATACTGACTAAGCTACCCAACTTAATTTGCATTGTACCAAATATTTGAATAAAAATTTTCTTGGATATTTTCCATCTAAGAAATAATAAAATAGAAAACGACGTTTCGGAGATGGGGCTACAGAGTAGGTATCTGAAGACGGAGATAGAGCCCCATCTCCGAAACGTCGTTATCTATTTTATTATTTCTTAGACGATGGAAAATATCCAAGAAAATTTGTATTCAAATGACTCGCCATCGTCACGAACTTTTAGATTTGATTGTACCAAATATCGTTGCAATTATGAAGTCGAAGAGGAGAGATTAGAGATGCATGCAGAATTTTGGTTCAGAAGTTTGAAGGGAAGAGACCAATCGAAAGGCCTGGACGTCGGTGGGAGGTTAGTATTAAATTAATCGTAGAGACATCGGGTGTGAGGCTGTAGATTGGAGTCATCTGGCTTGGGAATGGCACCGGAGGCGGGATATTGTGAACGCTAATGAACCTTCGGGTTCCGTAAAATTAATTTCTTGACTAGGTGGGCTTGTTGTTATTAGCTTCTCAAAAGAGACTCTGCTTGATGTAGTGAGTTCCTTAATGAAACGCTCTAAACATACGTTCTGCAAAAAAAAAAAAGGCGCAGAGACTGGGACGACGTCTTAGAGACACTAACCGCTCCCATTATTGTATTCATCTTGGCGTTGCTATGCAGAGCGGACGTCGGTCCAGTGAATGCCAGCCCTCTCGTGGTAGACGCTTCCAACCAGATCTGTGACGCCACTATCGATTTTCGTCACTATTCTTGCTACATTCCCCTTTCGCCATCGCGTCGTTTTACCTTCTTCTCCATCTTCGCTCCCTGTCACCACGTCCGTTACAGCCACAGAGGCGAACTCTGATCGCAAACAGATCGTGGGGGGGTGGGAAAATGGCGGTGCTCTCAGATACCCCTGAAGTTATGTTAAAATAAATGACCCGCATTTATTTGACGGCATATCAGATGTAGTTGGTTATTATTTTACATTTACTTCTGCGCTTAGAACATATTTCGCAGCTTTTGATTTACGAATGTGGTTTATGCAGACTTTGGTAGGTGTCGAAAAGGTAAGGCGGGATAAGTAAAATTGTCCCCGCGTTTTAATTAAACGCCGCATGGAGGGAGTGGCCAGCTTCACGCTTCGGCCGTTTTACTCCAGGAACCAACTGGTAAGGAATCTGGGCGCACCCCGGAATCGGTCTAGACTTTGTAACGAGGAGAAAAATATTTGCCTCGGCCTGGAATTAGATCAGCTCGTCGCCAGACATTTTATTAAGAGGTCGTTTGTGTCCTCAAAGAAGTGGGGTGTGAAGGTGTCGATTGGGTCTGTTTGGCTCTGGATATGGCAATACTGCTGGGCTCTTGTAAACACTAACAAAACTTCATGTTTAATAAAGGACGTGGCATTTTTTATGTAGGGCTCTCTCTTACCTTAAGCCTGGTTCATATTTGTAATATGACGACAAATGAAGGTGACTGTCGTGTGGGATGTTTCTGCATGTAGTCCGGTTAACGTTTACAGGTTTCAGAGGTACGTGCTGCCTTCATCGTCAGGGCAGTTAGTAGACCGCCCACGGAATGTTACTGTCTCACCGCCGTTGTAACATGAGCTTTGAAATTACTACATTTTAGTTTTTACCAGTTCGTATTAAAATGGTGTAGCTTGAGGTTCCCACCATTTTAATAAGAATCCCAATAGGAAGATGTAATGGTAGCCACCCAATTGCGATAGAGCTACTGGCAGCGTTGTTAAATAAATAAATAAATAAATATAAACTTGCAACGTCATTCGAAAGACAGTCCGAATCTAGGATAGTATCGATTCTAATGATTCATGTTAGTTTCTTTTTTCTCCGTCTCTTCAAACAAAAATAATAGTCTGCCTACAAAACAAGCCACGGAGTTCGGGAATAAATACAGCATCAGTTTGTTCATTGTCGCAAAATATTAGCTGAATTTATAATAATAAGAATTTGTAATTGCTCATTTTGTTTAAAGAAAAACACGTAAAAAGCTATGATACGGCTATTCTGGCATGAAGGATAGGGAAATATTAAACGGTCTTCGATATAGGTGCCTTCCATTCGACCCCATTGCCTTGATCCGTGACCCGGAGAAACTGGATAATGCTCCTCTTGTTTGTTTTGGCTAGCATTGGGCGCCAGACCACTGAAATTGGAGGAATATAGTGGGCTCTTTACATTTCGCTGACATCAAACGCCATAACATTTTTACTAGATCGCGTACCATATAGGTAAAGAACTAAGTGGTACAGTTCAGTTTTTTAGACATGGCCGCTGTCCAGTCCGAGGGGAGGGTGTGAGGGGAAGAGTAGTGGGAGACGAATCCCCTCTACACACGCGTGCGCACCTTTAACTCCTCACCCGTGTTTCCTGGACTCCTCCGTATCTGTGGCGCATCGTGTTTACAGCGGTCACGTGTAAGGTATTGAAATGTGCATGCATCTAAATGTAGATCACATCAAAATGTATTGACTTTTATTTTTATTATTTGATGTGATGTAATGAGATAAGAGTAAATTATGAGCGCATATCCAACCCTGTTTGGCCCATTTTGATTGGTAGGAGCAATCTCATTTTGTAAGTTACTCAAATCATATGGCAGTAATTAGCGCATTTACTTCAGCTACTTAACTAGGGAAATTAAATCCGTGGCGTAACAGCTCCAGAGAGCCAAAGCCGACTAGCTTGACTGCTGGCCTCACGTTCACATGCCTAAGCAGAGGTGAACGATCATCCAACCAAATATAGGGTGACGTGTGATCAGCACGACGAACCCCCAGCCATTGCTAGTTTTCCTGACCGAATTATGCTACTCATTGTAGCTCCCCAATTTCCTCACGATGCTGGGTTGGCACCGGTCCCATACACTGGTCGAAAGCTTATGAGAATATTTCTTCTCCCCCCGAGATTCGAACCAGCGCTCATTCTGTATCGCCGGTCTAACTAGGGAAATGATCATTCAAATTATAGTATGTATATATTGTACTGCACTGTACTCCAGTTCACTGGAATAAATATGCTGTGTTATATGCAACCCCAGTATGTACTGAATCAATCTACGTAAGATTTGTAAGTGATGTGAATAAATGAGTTGTGTACGAATCGGCATGGCCTGCGGTTTTATGGAAAAGGGTGGACACATAATGACTGACCTGATGAAATAAACTGATGAATGCTACATTGGACACACAGAGTAATACAAAAGTCTTCAGTCACAGGGAAGAAGAGTGGTTTGTTTGTCCATGTGTTGTATAACGACATTGAATTAACTGCAAAGGTTATTTGGCACCATGTAAGATGAGATGATTTTGGTGAAATACTAACTCCGGGGAAGGAGTCATTTCACATCATATTTCAAGGTCTATTCCAGTACTTTTTAAGAATTGCAGAAACCAAAAGAAGACTTGAGCTGGTAGAAGTTGGGATAAAGGGTCACTGGAAAAATTTGTTCATAAAATGACATTTGTAGTAAGATTATCTGAAATAACTTGTCTTATACTTTCTATTTGGTATAAATAAATATTTGCTTTTAAATGTGTTTGATTAGTGAAAGAAGTAGCATTAACATACCTAAATAGAAACCCACAAAGACATTGGTGAAGGGAATTTTGTCAGTGAGGTGTTGATAATAGACTTAAAAGTTGATGGGGTGTATACATTTGCTGTCAATACCTCATCTGAGAAAATATGATCTGGATCTGAAAACCGCAGCTGTCCTATCAGGGTCCTCTTACTTTTCTTTTTTTTAAAAAAAATGCTTCTTCCTTGTAGTATTCAACATTTACTAAGTTACTGGCACATGGTGCAAAGAATTACTGGATTTGCAGAAAACTTAAATGAGAACTTTTTTGTTGCAGGTGTACTACGCGAAGAAGAAGAGACGTGCACAGCAGACTCAAGGTGAAGACAGCTCACACAAAAAGGAGCGTAAATTGTACAATGATGGGTTTGATGATGACAACCATGACTACATCATCAAGAATGGAGAGAAGTTTCTTGACCGATATGAAATCGACTCCCTTATTGGCAAGGGCTCCTTTGGTCAGGTTGGTTAATCGCCATATTGCACATTAGTCTTTCATAAACCAAATTGACGTGAACGATTTGAACTATGAGTCAGAAATATTTAACTTTCAACTTGACAATAGTGTGCTTATTGAGTCCCAAATCACATCTTAGAAAAGTGTTGTTTTTTAAAAAATATGTCAGGCAGGGGTAGGTAATTATTGGTTAAATTGGTCTGTTTAAAGTGACTACAGGTCAGAGGTGTGCGTTAGAAACACTGTCGCTAAAGACAACCTGGGGATGAAATTGACTGCTCCTGAGCGTCTTACCTTGATCGCCCCTAAAACTACTCATTGTTACAGTGAAGATTTCTGTCTACTGGGTTGTTGCGCTGTGTAGTCTTGTCGATGTTTGCCAACGTTTCTGAGGTCATACTGCCTCCGTCATCACTGCTGTAAAAACCTCAAATCTTACAATGTTACAGCATTAAAGCACAGCATGTGGCTGGTAATTTTCTTTGGTGAAGTTGATCAAATGAAATGTTGTGCAAGTTGAAGGCACTGAATGTCTTTGATGCCTTTATTTTCCATAATGGATCCACATTACAGTCCATGAGATCTTAAATTTTGCACACAAACCACCACTTTCATAAACATTGGATGAATTAATTAAATTTACTACAGCAAGTGGACATGCTCTCACACGACACTTTAAAGGGTTTTTTTAATGAGAACATAGATTTGTTCTTCCTTCATTTCCAATTACTATATGCTTTATGAACACAGCCTGAAAATTTGTGATTTTACAATACGTGTATGAGAGGTAAAGTCTGTGAGTTTCAATATATAGATTTGTGTGAATTAAAAAAAATTAACATGTGGAAACACAGAATATCGCCAGGTTAAGCACTCATTCGTTTGCATTTTTTTTATTTATTCACATGTTTATGTATATCTTCTTATGTAACTCTTTACACAATTCCAACATTTATGCTTTTTAAATTTTGCTGATGACAGATACAAAGAAATTAAGTTCTGTGAAAATATTTAATAGGCACAAATCTTTGTACTGAAATGTCTGATGTTCTTTACCCTATTTTGAATTGAATTTGGGATTTCGTATAAGTGCGTATTCAATTTCTTACCACACACAAGTGATCATGTGGAATTACACACTAAACAATTTTTTAGATTCTTTCCTTTCAGTAGTCAATGTCATTGATTTTCACAGTTGATATCACCTGTTTTGTACCTCGACCCATATATAGAAATCCAGCAGAGTAAGGTCCACAGATTGAGATGGCCAAGGTTTTGTACCTCCTCTTCCAGTCCACCATTCTCAGAATTGTGTACCTAATCTTCAACTAACGGTCTGTGTATCAGAAAGTGAGGCTCCATCAAGTCAAGAGATTGGCTATGCCTGTAGAACTGGGTGTATCCTCCAGATCAGTGGTATTCAACTTGGGGTACGTGTACCCCCGGGGGTATGCGAAGACATCTTAGGGGGTACGTGAAATTTAAAAAAAAATATGATAAACACTGAATAATCAGTAATGTAATTTATTTAATTTATTTTAGATATAGATTATATACTATGTATAACTTGAATTATACACCAACAACTTTGGGGGTACAAAGTTGAAGAGAAATTATATCTGGGGGTACGCAAACAGAAAAAGGTTGAATACCACTGCTCCAGATGACAGGAGTGAATGTGGAGTAGCGGTGGAACAATATTGACAAAGGAAAACTGAAGGATTCGGAGAAAAGCCTTTCTGTCCATGGCATGGCCAATGCTTATGCTGACAGTCTCAGTATCAGAGCAGATTACATTTTATTGACATCTGAAACAGTGGATTACATTGGCAGACATGGATTGATCTCGCATGGAGCATACTACCCTTCAGAACTTGAGATTTTTCATGCACAGACTTTCAGAAACAATTCATTTCTTCAGTGTTGGTGACCAAATTAATTTTATCTCTTTTATATCACTGGAAGCCTGTGTAGCCTCTTTTTATTTCTGGCGTTATGCGATGTTATCATATTAGCTTTGAAATAATTTTTCATATAAGTGAAGGTAATTTACAGATGTGCTTGTTTTATTTGAGGTTAATGGCAGCTTCCAACTTTCCTTTACCTAGCCTTCTGCACCTTCAGTTTTGAGATATTTGTACTTAATCTTTTTGTGGCTTGCAGGTTGTTAAAGCATTTGACCATGAAGACCAGTGCCAAGTGGCAGTCAAGATCATAAAAAACAAGAAGCCATTCTTGAACCAGGCCCAGATTGAGGTGAAGCTTCTGGAAATGATGAACAGGGCGGACTCCGACAACAAGTATTACATAGGTAAAGACAAAATAGGTGCGTAACCATGTTTCCGACTAGCCTAACATCACTCATCCACTGTTGCATATTGTCTCAGTATTTGTGTTTAAATTCAGTTAAGAGGAAGGAATCTGGTAAGATAATTTAGTCATAATTATGATGTGATTGGAGGAGAGTCAAATAAAGATGCCCATCGTACACGCCTAACAATGTAGAAATGCTGAAATTTTTGTCTGTACAATGTAACATTGGTGTCAGTGATAGTCAAAGTCGCTGATGAATCATATAGATATAGTGTTTTCCAGAGTATGGGATGAGACTTGACAAACTCTTATTGAAATCAACTTTTGATTTATATTCATGTTGAACCTTTAAATCATGACATAAACAATGTTCAGAGGAAAACAGAAAGGAGAATGATAGAGCATTTTGATTTTGTTATGAAGAGAATGGTTGTGTCAAGTTTGGAAACTACTGGGTTAATGTCTGCTGACAAGGATTGCACTGTAAATAAATAATTAGTGCCTCAATGTTTTAGTAATACTTTCCGTGGGGTTTTTGTCTCGTTTACTACTTATTTCCTTCAGAAATCAATAGAATAAATACTCTGATAACGTACTTGTTCTGTCAGAATTATAAATACAGTTTAAAATATTTAAAGGCTTTATTCAAGTAAAAATTTCAGACTTTCTTTTCTTGTATTATTAATAGTCCTATGTTAGATTTGTTCTGCATCTGTTCAAGCTAAGTTGTTGACATAAGACGTGTAACATTATCATCTATGTGACAAAAGTGAAAAACAAGGCCCAGATGCACCGTATAATGCAAAATGTTGTCAGTGTTACCAAAGCAGGGCCATTCTTGAATATTATCTTTGGAGACATGGAAATAAATATCTTATAAATGGAAATAAATGTCTTACATAATATATCTTAAAAATATGCGAACAATTTAAAGTTCAACCCATTATTAAAATGATTTTATATATGCTGAGTGTGAATGTAAGTAAAATAGAAATTGCATTATAAAACCATTACGTTGACGCGGTAACACGTTTGTTAAAATTTTCGTTCAGTGGTAGATTAAACACAGTTCTTACTCTTGAGCCAATATCGAATACATTTGTATGTGTTTTGGTTTATTCTTTGTGAATTTCAAATAGACCTAATCACAAATTCCATTTTTCCAAACAATGCCAGAGTAGTAGATTAATTATAAACAGGTATTTATGTTGGAGAAACTGATAAATCTATTGCACTGTAATTTTGCAGAAGCAGGTTTCTGAATCATATGCGGTTGAACTAATAACTTTTATAACAGGAATTTTACTTTTATCAACAGAACATGTTTATTTGACAGATGGTGCTGTGGCTCATGATAGATTTTGTTATATTTTTGTTTGGTAATACTATGTCAGTTGTAGTTAAAATTTAGTTTTGAAAAAGTTATTGATTGAAAATGCTGCAGTTATTATTCAAGGGTACTATCCTGGAGTTTTCCTATTGGCTGAGGAAAACCATTGAACACTTCAGTCAGAATATCTGGTGCCCAGGTTGAGATCTGAACAAGTTACCATCCAAATATGAAGTGTAATAAAGTTATCATTACATTATGTGACCCACAATACAACATTGTATGAGAATGAGGTTCTATGAAAAGCCTTGGGTTAGTAAGGTTTTGCAGTTGCGTGTAGATTCTTCTAGTATGTCATGGGAGATGTGCTTCATTTTTGAATATTGTTTAAATTTAGTCCGCAGAAAGAAGAAAGGGCTTCATGGGCTTTGTGTCTAAAGCATGGCAGTCAGTGCTACAGAACTAGCAAGTGCTAATAATTTTCTTACTTGAATTTTTAGTACTTTTGTTGTGAGATGAAAAACCATGTTAAGGTTTAGCTCCCAAATCTGTCCAGTTTCTGGTCAGATAACACAGAGGCCTTGCGTTATTAATGTTGTGTTTTGAGTTCAGTATTATTTTAGTTATTTTATATCAATTCATAGGCTTTAGAGAGTTTTGCACACTGTGGAGCTGCTTTTAGTTTCTACTTTCGCCAACAGGTGCTGTTAAACAATAAAAAATAAATCATTTTCTGATCATATGGAGAAAGCTGTTTTATTCACTGCAAAATGGTTTCTTATAGCAGGCAGTGAAACTTAAGTAACAACAAAATATCTGAAAAAATTGCAGGTGTGCACACAACAGTACACATTAACCCTTTCAGCCTTTGGCGCTTCTATGAAAGCACTTGTTTCTATGCTGCCAGTGCTACACACTTCTACAGAGGGGTCTGACATATAGAGGAGAGCTTATAGGACCTTTTAGTGGCACTTAAACTTTTTGTGTTTGTTTTATTGGGTGGGTGAATTTTGTGTTTGAAAACAGGATTGTCAGTTGGCAATGATAAATATGGCAGACATAAATAGTGACAGAAATATTGGAAAAGACATCTACAACCTTTCTCATTGAGATTTACAATCATAAGTAAGACAAATATAATGCGTATACTCCTGTCAGTTTTAGCAGACTTAGCAGAAGGAGTGTATATCTAGTGTATTGTTTCTTTCTCCCTTAATGTATCGTCTTATGTCAGCCACCCCAGTAAACTCTCCGATCGGAAACATGGCATGAGTATGTTTGAAACACATTCTGTTTTTAAAGGGCGTCATAACTTTGTGCTGCTAGGTCCATGTACTTGTTATTGAACTGTTCAAAATTTGTTTTATAATTTTGCTACATGATTTCAGTTTAAATATTTAATCCAGACCATTAATAATTACTGGAAATAAGATTTTATTATACCTGTTGCAAATAAATGTATTTGAATCAGCATTTAGCTGGAATGAAATGCATATTCATGAGTGCAGAAAGGTATGGAGCCCTGTTACAATGTGTTTGTTGTGAAGAACTCTTCAATGCTTAATCACTTTCATGTTGTGTGTAATCATTTTATTCATATTTAAATTTTTCATTATTGTCTAGTTTGTGCTCGAATATATTTTACCACAAAAAGAGAAGTTAGGTTCTGAAGTGGGGTGAAATATGGGGAAATGCATAATTTATGAGCTTCTAAGAGTGAAATTTTCATGCTTCTCTGCTAAATTGCATGAAAAGATCATAAGGATGAACCTATCAGTACTATGGTGATAGCAACATTTTCTTAAAATTGAGTTAGTAGTTGTAACTGATTCATTACCACTACAGTTATCTAGCAGAACATCTGGTGTTGTATTAATGTTTTTCACACTCAATGTGTAGATATATCAAAAGTACAGAAGCAATTCATGTATGCTACGAACGCTTATTTTTATTTAATTCCTGATGGTAATAATAACGTATGATAATTTAAAAGTTGTCAGTGGCACAAACTTGGTAGCAGATCTTGTCATGCTGGTATTATATAAGTACATCACTCAACATCTGTATGATAAACCTTTATATGCTGGGAGCAGCCACTCCAGACGAATTGTGTTCAGTCTTGCTGTACCTTGTAAGATTTGAGGTTTTCACAGTGGTGAGTATGAAGATTTCTGTCTTCTGGGTTGTTGCGCTGTGTAGTCTGGTAGATGTTAACCAACGTTTTAGAGGTCATACTGCCTCCGTCATCAGGGCCCTGATGACGGAGGCAGTATGACCTCTAAAACGTTGGTGCTATACCCTGTTTTAGTAGTGTAGTTCATTAAAACATTAGTGTGTTGTAAGAAGTAGATAGAAAACTTTAATTCTTTTAATTATAATGGCATGACCCCCCCCCCCCCCCCACCACCCACAAATAAATTATTAGATATGGAAGACAGCAAGGATTTATTCCCTACCTGAAGTGGACTTTGTACATTACATGTGATGCAAACAAAGATTGTAATAAAATCTTATAGCCATTTGAGGAAGTGTAAAAGAATATCTATATAACTCGTACTGAGAACAGTGTATGAGTTTGTTACTTTGTGTTGTAGTGAAACTGAAGCGGCACTTCATGTGGCGTAATCACCTGTGTCTAGTCTTCGAGTTGCTGTCATACAACCTGTACGACTTGCTGCGCAACACTAACTTTCGAGGCGTGTCTCTGAACTTGACACGCAAGTTTGCACAGCAGCTATGCACGGCCTTGCTGTTCCTGTCCACGCCTGAGCTCAACATTATCCATTGTGACCTCAAGCCTGAAAATATTCTCTTGTGCAATCCCAAGAGATCGGCTATCAAGATTGTTGATTTTGGTAGTTCGTGTCAACTGGGACAGAGAGTAAGTGCAATAATATCATGAACATATAATTGTTGTTCCCTTTGAAATATTTTGAGCAGTAAATTCCTTAGAAATGGCATCCTGTCACTGCTGATTATTTTAATGTCTGTCTAACTCACTCTCGGTCTGAACCCCCTACAAATGTTCGTACATATACTGGCCATCCCAATGGGAAATATTTATGTTTTATTTCCTGTCTCCTAATCATATTTGGAGAATTACTTAAATTGTTGATGCTTCAATAGACCATGCATTGATTTGGAGCAGTGTTCCTTTTACATTTTGGCTGCAGTTCCAAAGTTATTTAAAATAATTGTTTGTTATGAAGTAATTGGTTAACATGTGTTACCTAAATAGGGCCGGTAGAGGATTGAGCCTGTGGTTACCTGAAGTTGAACACAAGTTTTCGAATAGAGAAACAGATTTTTCTGTTAAATAAATGTTGAAAATGCACATTCTTTAAAGCTTGTGCTATGACTGAAGGTCTTGCAGAACTGTCAGGACACTTTACCTATATTCATACTCTACATAGCAAAAACCAAGTACTTGAAATGTTCTAAGTTACAAACCAGTTTGTAGATTCCCTAAAATAGGTCAGCATTTCATTGATTTAAGTTATGAATTTTGTTGCTTTGTTATACTTTGATCTTGGAACATAGGTATCATAGATTTGATTGAACTATGTAAACTTACAGTTCTAAGAAGCTGTTAATATTTTATTCAGATATACCAGTACATCCAGTCAAGGTTCTACCGGTCACCTGAAGTTCTTCTGGGAATTCCATATGACCTAGCTATTGACATGTGGAGCCTGGGATGCATCTTGGTGGAAATGCACACTGGGGAACCCTTGTTCAGCGGGGCAAATGAGGTAGGTCATGGTGAATGCTGAATAGAAGTGTCGTACTCATAGGAAAATATAAACTTATGGGTAGAAACATGGAATATGTATTAAATCCTAGTAAGTAAGTTGGTCCAGAAGTAAACTTAAGGAAAACTGATTGTAGGGTCAGTCAGAATTTGATTGGATTGTGAAATTTGATGTTACATTAACTAATATTAAATTAATTTCACGGCTAAAGAAACATATATACATCTTTAAATGTTGCAGCTGTTTTACAGTAAAACCCCTCAAGTTGGACACTCCTCTATATTGGACACTTATAATTTTAATGAGTGAATATCCTATAATTTTACATATCCACAATACCCTATATCTTGGACACCCCTTTATCCTGGAACTTGGTCACGCCTTTTGTTGTAAGTTGGACAGGTGCATGCATGCACTTCCCTTCAATGCTTTTATGGGAAATGTTTACAGTTAGTATTTTGCTGTTTTGAATTTCTGACTGATGAATGCCTTCTACCTGAGGATTAGCTGATGGTTGAGGGTGAGACATTGAGCACATCATCAGATTGCAGTGAAAGTGTATAGTTATTCTTTTGTTTAACCCTTCACTGGACTATAGTACTATTGCTGGTACAGTTTTACTTTGTCAGTACTGTGCTTGTAACTGAGTTAAACATACGAGGTGCGATCGGAAAGTTTCAAGACTGCGCCTATAAAAACCCGTACACTTATCTCAGGTATTAAATTCAACCATCACCCTCGAAGTAGTTCCCCTGGGAGTGAACACAACGATCCCAGCGCCGCTGCCAAGCCTGGAAGCATCCCTGGAAATCTTTCTTTGTCAGCCTGTCAAGCACCATCTGCGATTCTGCCTGAATCTCTTCTATCGTCTCAAATCTCCTTCCCTTTAGCTGAATTTTCAACTTTGGGAAGAGGAAGAAGTCACACAGAGCTAAGGAGGGTGCGGGATGACGGCCATGGTGTTTGAGGCCAAAAACTGCCGAACTTTGAGGGCGGTGTGTGCTGGCGCGTTGTCATGATGCGTCGCATGTGGGGTTCTTCCTTTAGAATCAGCTGACAGATCCCATAGTCTATCCCAACAATGTCGCACAAGTCGTTGATGGTACGACGATGGTCGATCTTCGTGAATGGCCTGCCGAATCTTGGTAACATTTTCGGGCGTTGTGCTCGAAGATGGTCGTCCAGCACGCTCGTCATCATCGACAGAGGTTCGGCCCTTTTTAAAACGTGAATGCCACACAAAAGTTTGTGCACGACCCATTGCGGACTCCCCAAATGCTTGCTTTAGCATTTCATAGGTTTCCGTAGCCGTTTTGGCGAGTCTTTGGCAAAATTTGATGCACACGCCATTCCGAAATCACAGGAGGGTCGGTGTAATGCACTACCAAAACGCCCGTAACTAAGAAACAAATGCTAATTCGATGATGCCGGTTGGCACACTGATTCACTATGAATGTAGGCCGCACTCCCTAGCGGCAGAAGTTCATACTACATCCGGTTCACCCTCTATTGACACAGTCTGGAAACTTTCCGATCGCACCTCGTATATGGCCAGTTAGCATTATGTGAATTGCCTAAAAGAAATAATGGAGTTGTGTGAAAGAAAGTTATAATTGGTTTCTATGATGTGACAGTGGGCATTATTGGTTTCTGTGTCACAGCAGTGGATGATGTGTGATTGTTTAAAATTTGGTTAAGTAAGGCTTTCAGTTATTCTTCATCTTAGAAATGTATTAAATGAAGTAAACATCTAAGAAGGGAGAAGGTCAGATACAACAGAAGCACACCTCCCTTGAAGTAAAATGTACCAATGTTTTTCAGCTGAACAGCTATTTATAAAAGAATCTAGCAAATAAGAATACACATAAATGTTTTCACAGCTAGTAGTAACATTATGGACACGTGTACAGCCATGCGTTGTAGTGGAAGGGGTAGGGGTGGTAGTTCAGTACAGCTCTCAGGCATTGAATGTGGAATGGTGGATTGCAGGCTTACTTTAGGGAGGGGAACAGAGAGGGTGTATTAATGGTAGTCAGTGCAGAAAGTCAAATAAAAGCCACTGCTAGTTAGGAATCGGTTGTTATGACAAAGGTGCTAGGAAAATGCCACTTTGTTGCCTTCTTGTATTTACACTTTCTCAGAACTGTATTTATAAAAATGAATATAGTTTCTTCCTTACATTTTTATTCCTCTGAGGTATTATTGGAAATTTGAGATGAGACAAATGTGAACTGTTACATGTACATACAATGTTTGTCCATATCAGTGAGTTCCATTAGCTAGTGTAATAATCATTCTTTACTCCCACCCCTCATCTTTAATGGAGCATCACATTCAAGAGACAACATTTCATTGTGAGTATAATTGCCAGTCTGTTGGCAATGATTTTATATTAGTATAAAGTAATTTGTTTTATCCAGATTAATTTAAAATCTGGATTTAATTAATTACGTCTGTGACTGGGTTGTAGATTGCTTTATAGATGATTATAAAATACCACATCATGTAATATTAATTTTTCTGTTATCTGTTATGTAATTACTTAAGAGAGGCTAAAAGGTATTTTGAACTTTAATGTGTACTCTTTTTTTAGGAAAACTGCTTCATCAAGCTGTGGACATGGATTCTGTTAATGTGCCCTCAGTCATACTATGAAATCACTGTTATAGTGTATTAAACTTGCTTTTGCTGTTTTATCCTTAATCCTTGTAGTTTATCAGAAGTTCGCTAATACATGTAATATTCAAAATACGTTGCTTATATTAAGTCTGCCCATCTATTATCTGGACAGGCTAGTTAGGAAAGAAAGTAATGGCTTTCAGAAAATTATGATTTGGAAATATTTTTGCCTCTTATAAAAGGTATTGATATGTGAATCGTAGGACAAAAGTTGTCTGTGCCCTGCGCTCAGTTTCAGAAACACTATTGTGTGAAATACATTTTTTTTAATGTGCAGTTCAAGGTTCTTTACATTGAAATAGCAAACCAATTGAAGCAATGGACCTTTCAATGCGAAGGATGCAGTGAAGACGTGTATAAAGTACTGTGATGGTTGTGTCAGATACTATATGAATAGTTTGCTCTGTTGTGTAGGTGGACCAGATGAACAAGATAGTGGAGGTTCTGGGCATGCCATCGAAACACATTCTTGATCAGGCCCACAAGGCACGGAAGTACTTTGATAAGCTGCCTGGTGATGGTTCTTATGTGTTGAAGAAAGCGAAAGATGGGAAAAAGTACAAGTTACCGGGTACTCGGAGACTTCATGACATATTAGGTGTGGAAAGTGGGGGCCCGGGTGGGCGGCGACTAGGTGAGCCAGGTCATGCTGTCTCGGACTACCTCAAGTTCAAGGATCTGATACTTCGGATGTTGGACTTTGATCCCAAGACTCGAATTACACCTTATTATGCACTTCAGCACAACTTTTTTAAGAGGACAGCAGATGAAGGCACCAATACGAATAGCAGTGCGAGTAGTGGTAGCACGAGCACCAGTCCTGCTGTAGCCGCCCTTGTTGACCCTGGTAGTCCTGGGGGAGCTGGAAATGGAAATGCACAAATGGGTAAGTTGTTTTCATTTTTTCTTAACATAAAATTTATATGGTGTGTGTTCATACGTATTGTCCCAATGATCTTAATGTTACAATGACATTTTACATTGAAGCATGTGGACTAGCATGAATCCAAACTGTTGCGATTTACAGACTAACAGTGTTCTGCCCACATATCACTTTTTATCAGCAAAGGTTTCATTGTAAGAAACTTGAAATATTTTAATTTTACTATAGTCATATTTGCACTAAGATTAGTCCCTTAGTTTCTAACAAAGGTGTGTCATTGAACTGATGCTTATTCTTGGATATTTTTCTTTGTCTTTTGAAAACATACAGCATTTCAGAAACTGGCTCTGCTTCTGCCATTAGGTAAAACTATGCGACCTAATCCATTAGGACCACTGGATAAAATGAATCTAAATATCCAGGGATTGAGATTAGGTTTTAGAATTTAGAATTTTGCCTGATGATGGAAGCAGAAGCAGCTTCCAAAATGTTATTTGTTTCTGAAACTGATAGATGAAGGAAAATATCCAAGAATTATACATCAGTGTACTGTAAGATGTGTGACTAAATACTTTAAACTAAACATTTGTGTTTTCTCAAATGCAGGTTTAATTTTTTATGGTTATTACAGCAAGATTTGGTTGTTTGAATTTATCTTATTTTTACTTATTTGTGGATCTATGCCCATTCTTACAGAGACTGAAAATGTAAGTGCACATATATCTTGTAATGGTTGTACCTTTTCAGAGTGTTTATTGGTATTATGATGAAAATGCTTTGTCTTTTATATGTCACAAACATAAACTCCTTCATATTTGTAGTAGTTTGGCTGACAATGAAAGACTAGTTATGTGAATGAGTATAAAAATTGATGGGTTTGTATCTGCAGAGAGAAAGAGAGACGTTCATTTTGAGGTGAATTATATAAATTAACACATTTTTTAAGTTTGTTAATTAACATATTTGTTGCAGGTGCCTTATCACAATATGCCCCAATATATCAAGTAGTTTAGATTATAAAGTGGCTGTAAATATGTTATTGTTTTAGTAAATAAATAATTCAGAACCTGCTCAATGAGACAGTAATTTTTTTAAAGACACATTACAAGTCGTTGGTGAAGAACATGACTGTCTTTTGGGTTTTTGTGCCATGTAGTCTGGATCAATGGTCTGGTCGAGGTACTGCCATATCCAAATGGTTCCCATACCTCAGATCGATACCTCACTTGTAGCTTGCTGATCACCCTGATGATTTAGGCAGCAAGCACCTGTGAAATGTCTGTAAAGTTCTACCTGATTTCTCACTCGTTAAGGTTTCTAAACATCCTTCAGATGTTGTGATGTCATGTGTCGTGGTATACTGTGAGTGTAGATTTGTCAGTATGGGATGATGAACTTTGCTCTCCTGTAGAAGCCTCTGCAGGTGACCATTAGCAATTCAAAATCTGGACAGGTTGAGGGGAAGAGGTACAAGTATTTGCTTAGTTCCTTTTAAAGTGAGGGGTAGCATGTCTAGAATTGGCCTGTCTGTATGTTCCTGTGATGTGGACAATTTTCATTTCAGCAGAATAGTTTCTTTATAAAAATTGGTGAGTGGAAATCCTTGTCTGGTGTTACGTTATTTCTTGTTGTGATATGTGTCATTCTGGCACAGAATTGCAGATGATAGTAGCTATGTAACACTTTAGTTACGTTGATAAGCTTTACGCTTCGCTGAATCTCTGGAACCAGTATCACATATTGATTTTTCTGTGGCAGATAAATATGATGCTTCAACTGTACATAAAAATTGTGCAGTTTTGTAAACATTAGAAAAATACAAGACCATTTACACTAAATTTCTTATTCAGTAGAACAGTTCAGATTTTAATGTGGTAGAGAAGTTATGAATTGGAGTAATGTCACTGTTTCAGGAAGTCATTTAACATTTCAGCATAATCAGAAAGATTGATTTAATTAACCAATGCACAAAAGAACGTGCTGTTGTGGTTTCTCTTTATTCCACAGATGAAAATGAGGTTAGTGTAGAAGTTAAATGAGCTACATGATTGTTTATGTATATTTAATTGTTATATCTTCTTTTTCTTGTTTTACTTGCAGAAAGTTACAGATATGAGTATGTTTCTTCATGTTCACATAAAATGGATAACATTATTGTTATTGACGTATTAAAAAGTGAATTAGATATTACACATTATACATTCGAGAATTTCAAGATTTGTGGTGTTTTTAAAACCGGTTGTTACTTTAAAAAATGTGCACGTGTAATGGATCATATTCTAGTTTAATATTTTTAAGAGGTGAGAATGATAGGATCATGTCTGTAATTGTATTTATACAATCCACAAGGTGTATATGCTTGCTTTTTTATATATGTTCTTTCTCTGTGCTGTTTTCAGAACTTACACAGTATATCCCAAAAATATGTATATACGCATTCAGTAAATGAAATAAAGACATTTGTAAACGATGTCATTATGTACTTAAGCATTAGCATTTAGTGAATTGGCAAATCTAATTTATGTGTTTAAAATTAATTCTGTTGGCTTGCTTCATGCTACAGTTGACAGCGGTGAGCAACTGACTGACAAGTACCACCAAAGTTGCTGCTGTTTACATATTTTTTGGATACCTGTGTTTGGCTAGATAGTCGCACAAACCTCATGACCAAGTGATATGAGTATCTGAAATTAAATATAAAATGCAAACTGATCACAATTTTTGAGGAGAAGTTTCTGAGTAGGTTGCATTGTATTCATAGATATATGCATTATAATTATTCTTAAGACAAAATTTTATTATCAGGCTTATTTCAGTACTGTATTCAGAAATAAAAGTTAAAGAAGTATTTTCCTTGCTATTGTCTCAGAAGGAAAGGTCAAAAATAGTTTCTTTGTTATTGCCTTATTTTCAGCAAAGAATTGGCAACATCACAATTTATATTTATGTATTTGTTTTAGAGAACTGTATTGAAATGCCACATTCCCAAATTTTCTGATTTGTTAATGATGTGCACCACTGCTTGATAATTTGAAATTAACATTTGCTAATTTTTAGAAGGGGATTAATGTGTTCTTGTTTATTTAGCTTTTGGAAGTGTATGTAATCTGGTTTAGAAATTACACCAGATCTGGTGATATACATTAACGGAACCGCTGGAAATTCTGCAGATTGTTTATTTGGTGATTTTAACCTCTAAATCCAGCAGTCTGAGTACATAGTGACAGCATAAATTTCCTGAATTTTTAGGACTTTTATGTCTCACCCTGGCACCAGCAAAATGTCATTTGTCTGCCATCTCTTGGTTTAAGATCAAACAAGCTACAGCATTAGCCTTGAAATGTGATTCCACCACTCACATTTATATGGAAGTCTTAGAACAGTGTAGTACAAAGCAGTGTAGTTGTGATATTGGAAGTTATGTAGACATTTCTGACTCTGATGATGTTGCTGCTTCTACCGTAAATCGATATCAGAAAGCAAGGAAATTGAAGAAGAAATAATGGGTGATGCGAGAATGGAGAGACCTAGATTGAGAGATCAGAAGTGTGATTGGCAGTGGGAAAATGTTGACTCTTTTATAACTTCCAAAACTACTTTGATTTTGATACAGAAAAGTACTATTCATTAGAATAGTGTGGGCACAGCAAGAGAATTTATTAATTGTGTATGTTACCTAGACAGATTCTTATAATTCAAATAATGTTTCATGTAGATGAAAGCTATATTGTTTACATTTTGGAGATCCTTACTGTCTCTGTCTTCAAGATGAAGTTAGTGCGTAGTGGGCTGTGCTGATTTCTAGAAACAGATCATTGAGAAACTTTTTTTAATCTGTTGAGCAATAGCCAGTTTATAGTGAAGCAGAAAAGTAGGTCTTTGAAGGGTCAGTCTCCTTTACCTTGAAGATGGAGGCAGTATGGATCTGCAGAATGTCTATAATACAGTGCTGACACTAGGTGCAATCAGTTCAGAAATAGGATTCTCACCTCACTGAACTGCTGCAAAAGCCCGAATTCTTCAAAATTCGTGTTCTGCAACACCTGGCATTTGTAACAGATTGTCGAGAGGTTTTGTGTGGCTATCTTGTCTGCTTCTAGCTGTCTGTTACATTACAGTCTTGAGTTTCTGTTTGTTGATTAAAACGACATTATGTTGTTGCTGAAACTTTGGTGTTGGCTATGTGCAAATGATTAGTAATCCTAATTTGTATTCTGTATTTTAATTTCCTGAAGACCGACACAGTTACTAACCAACACAGCCATGGATATATGATTAAAGCAACAAAAATGCATACAGTATTTCATTTAAGAATATAAGAAAATTATCTTATTCTTTTTACATAAAAAGATAATGATAATAGGGGAAGGTAATTATGGTATATTTCAGGGACATTGCCAATGAACACATTTGACATTATTATTAAAAACAATTGTTTAAGGGTTTGTGTAGGATATGCTTAATTATTCTGCAAATAAGTCTTTATTATGTTTATCTTTCAGTTAATTTTTTAGTATAAATTTGAATTCTTCATATACTATCTGCTGTTGTATAATTGTCATGACTCTTGAAATTGGGATTCTTTGCATATCTGTTTTGCTTTGATTGGCTATATTAAAATTTTGGTTTTGTTAATTTAATTCTAAATACACAGTTTTGGAACTTGGGTATGTGTTTAAATTGCTGTTTTCATTGAATTATTATTAATATCATTATATTGATCAAATTAATTATTATAGTTTTACATAAGGAGCTGTACAAGAATGAACATTAATTTTAAAATATAACTTTTTAATTCAATGTTATCTTTATTAGCATTTGTTGTATTTGACATGTTTTCACGTGAGCAGGGTTAGATTTACGAAGGTTTCTCATGCAAGATGTTTGTATCTGTGCAAAGGAAGAAAGGGAGAAATTATTTTCTGTATTGCTGTTAAATTTAAAAATGGAATTCACTGTTTAATAATTTTAAAGGTACATAATCTTTAGGTAACAGGTGCTCT